GCTGGTCACCAGCTAACTTTACAGCAATATTTAATTGAATGAGTAGAACAACGTTGTGCTAATGAGGGTCAAATTGCCACCAGATGTTGCTTCTTCTTTTTTTTTTTTTTTAAATAAACACAGCTGTGGACATGCATGCACAGGCAACACAGAACAAATAGTAGGAGAGAAAAATGGTTCTAAGGAAACATTTGCAAGCAATAAAGGAGGGAAAAACCCAGGGATTAATGAATTTTTATCCCACCTTTCTTCTCATTACAAACACATGAAAACACACTGAAGTTGGTGCTGGGACCACGCTATCTAGCAGACAACACTTCCAAGCAATCGTCTGTGAACTGGGGAGCTGGCTCCCGGGGGCAGCGAGGGGAGTCAGTCTGATGAAAGCCATCAACAACCTGACTGAGCTGTGGAGTCTTCCTCGCCGAGGTCCAGGAACCAGCTCGGAGTCTTCCCATCTCTAGCTGCACAAGGCCCTGCGCACACTTCAGAAGGCAAGAACAGAATAGAGTGAAAGGCAGCAGGGTCTGTGTTCTGAGACGCCGAGGCAGAGCCTCTGCGGCGGCCGTGAGTTATGAAAGGGCAGTTAGAGCACAGGGAAAGGGAGCGTCAGTGATCTAAAAGTCAAACAAAACAACAATTAAAAAATCCAGAGCACCATCTCACGACCACTTTACAAGCATCAGAAGGATTAGATTCCAGTTCCTCTCCTTTCTCTTCCTTCCCTCTTCTGATGAAAGTGTTATGAATAGCGTAACAATTAAGAAAGAGGGGAGAGGACGGAACATGAAACACGCAGATAATCTACAAATACAGATCTCCGTAATGACCGATAGGAAATCAGACTTTTAAAAGTAAACAAAACTGGCTTGTCTTCGCGTTGCTGACAAACCATGGCAATTCTGAAACAGAACAAAACGTACCTGGTGATAGCTGAATAAAAATTAACAACAAAAACATTTTTATTTGGAGACAGAGTCTCACTCTATCGCCCTTTGGAGAGCCGTGGCGTCATAGCTCACAGCAACCTCTAACTCTTAGGCTCAAGTGATCCTCTTGCCTCAGTTTTTCTACTTTTAGTGGAGACGGGGTCTTGCTTTTTGCTCAGGCTGGTCTTGAATTCCTGAGCTCAGGCAGTCTACTCACTTCAGCCTTGCAGAATGCTGGGATTATAGGCGTGAGCCCTGC